CCCCCCCCCCCCCCCCCCCCATTTCCCCCCCCCCCTTTTCCCCCCCCCCCCCCCCAGGGACGCCAAGGCCCCTGCACCCATAGTGCTGGGAGACAGGTGGGCTAGCAAGATCCCCAACCCTGAGCTTCTCCACCCCCTTTCATCTCCCTCCTCCCAGGTTTACCCCTCTCCCACTCTCATCCCCCCCTCCCACCCCAGTTATGGTCAATAAACAGTTTGTTTTTGGCAACACACATGTTTTTATTTTACATCAGGAATGGGGGTTAGGGAGGGGAAAATGGAAGGATGTGAGGGTGAAGACCCCAGTGGACGTGAGGGTGAAGACCCCAGTGGAGCACATCAGGGGGATTTCACTCCTCCTTCATCTGGAAGCTATCCCGCAGGGACTCTGGGATACCTGTAGCTCCCTGATGGGCCTCCCAGCAGGCTGCAGTGCGGGGCTGTGCGTACAGGCCAGCCAAGAGGTTGGCCTCTGCCATCCAGCCTCTCAGGAAAGCCTGTCAGCACACATCATGCTGCCACCATGTGCAGAATATTCCTCTCAGAGAGGTTGAGGCGGGTGAGGAGGCATCTAAATCGGGCCTTCAGCTGGCCAAACGCCCCCTACAGCACAATGCGGGCCCTGCTCAGCCTGGCATTAAAGGCCTGCTGGGAGGGGTTGAGGTGTCCCGTGTAGGGCTTCATGAGCCAGGATTATAGCGGGTAGGCCGCATCCCCCACCAGACAGACAGGTATGTCCATGTTCCCAACCCTTATGTGGCGCTCAGGGAAGAAGATCCTGGCGTGCAGCCTCTGGCACATGGAGGAATTGCGGTAAACCCGCACATCGTGTGCTTTGCTGGACCAGCCCATGTTGATGTCCATGAATTGGCCCTGGTGATCAGAAACAGCCTGCAGGATGAACCAGAAGTATCATTTCCAGTTGATGTACAGGGAGGCCTGGTGTGCTGCTGCAGAAGCTGCTAGGCAGTCTCCAGCACTTGCTGCCTGGCTTGCATCAAGACATCCAAAATGAGCACCAGAGTGCCCAGAAGCAGCTCTGGCTCCATGGTTCTGAGTGGTGCGGTGTCCTGAGTCAGGGCAACCAGAACAATCAGAGAAAAAAAATTCTTTGCTGTCCCTCAGCAAGGAAGGCAAGGATGGTACTTGGTCCTGCTGTGTAGGCAGGGGATTGGACTCAATGACTTTTCAAGGTCCCTTCCAGTTCTAGGAGATAGGCAATCTCCATTAATTTTTTAATTTAATGCATTTTATGTGTAGACACGTTATTTCAAAATATATATTCAAAATAAGATATTTCGAAATAACACTGTAGTGTAGACATACCCTAAGTTACAAAATAATGAAAATTATTAAGAATTGGCAAAAACTGAATTGCTAATAGCATTATTCCCTGGTGTAAGGACATTGGAAATTCCTTAAAGCCTGTACTTAAAATGCTAATCCAGTAGGCACAAAAATGCAGCATCCCTTTAGAATTCAGCTTATATTATGAAATCCTTTCTGGTGGAAAGTATTACTGCTTTCTAGTGCCAGCAATTTTATGTTTTCAAAATTCTTTTTTTTTCATTGTCATATCTTGTTAGTTGCTAGAGTAACCCTTGTCTTTTCCATTTAATTTAAAATATCAACTTTTTAACAATATGCAAATTACAGGGCTTGGATGGTACTGTGTGTTAATGAATCAACCTTTTACTCAAGAGACATGAGTTACATATAAAAAGTTGAGGAATCCTGTGGTAACTTATGGCATATCTACACTAGGAAATTATTTCAAAATAATTCTTCAAAATAACTCTCAAAATAACAATTTTGAAATTGTGTGCTCACACTATGGGAAAGCCTCAAAATTAATCCTAGGCAGTCTCCCTTAATGTGGATGTTCTACCTCAACTTAAAGTCCAAGGAAGCACTAGGGAGTAATTAGTTTGAATTAATCTGGGGAATAGTTATTTCAAAATAGCGGCACTGGAGTGTCCACACTACTGCTATTTGAAAATTACTATTTCAAAATTAGCATAATCCCTTGTCGAAAGCAGGAGTTATTATTTTGAAATAACCAGCTCCAAGGGGACATTTTAGCAAGCAAAAGTAGCCTGAGCACAATAGTTAGCCTGTGTCCAATGAGCTTCCCTAATCCAGGTCCGTTCCAGACCCTTCTCAATACTAAAATGCCTGCTGTAAAACAGCCCATAACACTATGAGCAAATGGCTCCTGTGTTTCTTTATTAAAAATATACTTAAGTATAATGCTCATCACCAGGATATCTGAATGCTGTATAAGAAATTTCAGTGTCCTATTTTCTTTCAACATGAATATTCCTTACATTTTTAGCCTTCAGCAGCACATTCAGGTTATAAATGTGCTCAAATTTTAAAGCCTCCTTATCCATCTTCACAATATATCCTTTTTCCTTCTTCACTATTTTCTTCCTCCTAAATAATTGCATGGCAGACATTTTCAAGAGGAATAGGATGGAGACTAGAAAAAAAAAGTAATACATTCTTGTACAATTTAATAAAATAGTATTTTTCACACTTTTTCCATTCTTTATACCCTGATGTCGAAATACTATAGTCTTAGTGGAATTTGCTGTCAGCTTGGTAGAGTTATATGTGTGGTTTAAATTTACTACAAAGTTTTCTAGTTCCTCCTTGCTTTATAGCTGTACACAATTGGAGACATGTATCTAATTTATTTAATGGTAAAACACTCTGGTTACTAGCCAGCTTTAATGGAACCAGCATAGTACTGAACAACATTAGAGCGTATTCTGCTTCTAAAGATTTTGAGTGCGTTTGTCCCTTCTGTAGAAAAATCTTGTTGGAAAAGGCTTGGGGTGGGAGGAATGAAAACTTAACAAGATTCCTCTGTGGCATTTTTCTTTTTTTATAGATTGCCCCAAAAGAAAGAGGTTTTGCTTCTGACCCTTTCAGAGACCAAACCTTATGGATCCTTTGAGATCTATTTGCCTTCTGGAGCTTTGTCCTCACTAAGGAAGTTTTCAGATTGCTGAAATGCTCCCTTAGCACTCATCTGTTTGGCTCAGGTGTGCCTTGCTTCAAGGAGTCTATCCTTCCTCCCTACAAAGGTGATTCCACAGCTCAGGAGGCTTCTGCTCAGAAGCCAGGACTGTAACAGAAATTGTTAAAGACTCAAGTTGTATTCACTGCTGAGCCAATTCCCAGGAGAAATGATGAGGTCAGAGTGAATTCTCCCTGGCCTGTGCTTCCTCCTTAGCTCTGGCCTCCCCCCCATTCATAGGTCATCAGCCCCATGGAGGACTTTCCATTTGGCCTAGACTGGGAAATGGGATATATATGCATGGAGGATTCTTTTTGTGCCCATCTAGGAGCCATGGTTTATTTACAACAGTAAATAATTTCAAATGTAACTACCCTCAGAAATGTTGAATTTTCAGGTGCTGAACCAACATGTATTTATCAGGTATTACCAATTTTTACTGCCTCTATCCCATTACTGCACTGAATATGGGAATAAAGGGTTCATATGTTCAGGAGCACTGAAAGTGTAACCTAATTTGCTAACTGTATCCACTCAACTTATTAAAACAAAGGTCTATATTGTACTATATATAGGATGCCTGACCAGAGTTCTTACCACCTCAAATATACAAATTTGTGTTTTGAGAAATGGATTGGTGTAGAATTTAACCTGAAGCAAGGGATGGATTAAGGTCTTTATAGGCCCTAAGTACTCTCCTAATCGTAGGCCTTTAAATTAGATTGTATATAAGGGAGAAATGCCCTATCACCTATACACCTAATATTGACCACTTTAATATTCACCCTTGAAAGTGGTGCACCACGTGGGCAATATTCATGGTACTTCATTCTAAAATAACAGCCATTTTTATGTATACTACAATTATACTTAGGTTTTACCTGATAGTATATTGGCTGATAAGGGGAATTAAAGGGACATTGCCAGTACAACTGTATAATTTGATTTAGCAGTTTTCTTACTTTCAAGTTCATTATGAATTTTTTTTTAGACCTTAAACTTTTTGTAGGCTCTACACGTGTTTATAGGCCCTAGGCACTGTGCCTATTGTGCCTAATGGATAAACTGGCCCAGCTTGAAGCACCTGGAGCCCCAGGATCCTATGTGGCACTTAGAATTCTAAGACCTTTAAAGATTGCCTGAGAAAACACATATTTTGATTTCATTTATTTGTGAAAATATTGTATTTTACACGGATATCTTCCTTTAAAACCCCTTAGGCTACGTCTAGACTGCAAGCCTCTTTTGAAAGAGTACTTTTAAAAAACAAGCCACTTTTTTGAAAGAGAGCAAACAGGCAGTCTGGATGATCTCGTTCGAAAAAGCAGTTTGCATTACATAGTGCCTTTTTTCCAAAGAGCACTTTCGAAAAAAGGCATTATTCCTCATAAAACGAGGTTTTCTGCAGTCGAAAAAATGGCCGCGTTCTTTTGATTTACTTTTGAAAGAACACAGCAGCAGTCTAGATGCAGGGGAAGCTTTTTCAAAAAAATGCCACTTTTTTCATATAAAACCCTGTAGTCTAGACACACCCTTAGGCTGCGTCTAGACTGGCATGATTTTCCGCAAATGCTTTTAACGGAAAAGTTTTTCCGTTAAAAAAATTTGTGGAAAAGAGCGTCTAGATTGGCACGGACGATTTTGCGCAAAAGCACTTTTGGAGGAAAAGCGTCCATGCCAATCTAGACGCGGTTTTGTGCAAGAAAGCCCCGATCGCCATTTTCACCATCGGAGCTTTTTTGCACAAAATGGTTCTCAGTTGTCTACACTGGCCCTCTTGGACAAAAGCATTTGCGCAAGAGGGCTTTTTCCCGAATGGGAGAGTCATTGTATTTGCGGAAGAACACTGATAATCTTACATTAGATCATCAGTGTTCTTGCGCAAATTCAAAGCGGCCAGTGTAGACAGCTGGCAAGTTTTTCCACACAAGCGGATGCTTTTGTGGAAAAACTTGCCAGTCTAGATGCAGCCTTAGAGTATAACTTTTTCTCTGCTGGTAATAGAAGCTCATTTTGACTACAGAGCTTTCACATCAAAGTCCAATTCTTGCTCATTGAGAAAAATAATACCATTGCTAGAAATCTTGCTACCTATTCACTAAGGGTCAGTGGCAATGCTAGTGCTAATTGGTGATGACCCTCTGATGTCAGTGGAACTATGTGTTTACAGAAGAAAGATGAGGCACTGCTGTTTCCATTGCACTCAAGGGCAAAACTCTCATTTACTTTAATGGTGCTGAAACAAGCCCTATGTTTATCCTTTTTTGTGCTAAGCTGAGCTTTATCTCAGTATATATTTTCAGAAGATAATGAATATGGTGGTTTTTATTTAGTGCTACTATCCTTGGAATTTGAATGCTTACAGTTTATTACTACTTTATTTTCACGAGGAGAGGAGAAATTGTAAAGGTTTAAAGGATTGATTATTGAGTGTCTAGCAAGTTAAGTTAATGCCTATTATGCCCACTGGCATGTAGGGCAGCAACGAAGGTTGTCCATTTTTGAGTGTCTAGCAAAAGGAAAGTATATTTATATTCATGGCATTTACTGTTTTTAATTAACAGGAACCTACCCATTTTCACATCCATTTCCATACATTTCAAAAATGTCAGATCATATTGTTTCAAAATGGAAGAAAACCAGATACAGTTGAACAGATCTCAAGTGACATTGGAAACTTCCAGAAAACTAGGGGTTTTGATAATGGTGGAGCTGATTCAGTTGGCTTTAAATTCTGCACATGGGACCTCACTCTCACTCAGATGGATAGCTGGCTTCCTCACAGATGCTAGGTTCAATATGAGATAGTAGCAGCTGCTCTCCAGGATTTCAGTACATACATCTTTATGTGATGGCCAGACTTAATCATATAAATCTTTGTGCAGTGAAGTTTTAATGTCCTGAATCAGGCATAAAGGCCTCCATTTGTAACTCTGTGTGCACTTAGGCAGTGAAGCCAGACCAGTGCATAAAGAGTTATGTGCTGATGTCAAAACTTGGGTGAAATATTAGACCTTTGAATAACCAAGTGTTTCAGTTAATCAGGATGTGGTTAATTAAAGGTTTCACTAAGTTGACCCATGTAAGATGTCCCTCAGTTGTATTAAAAATCACTTGGGTCATGCTAAAAGTGTGATGTGACTACAGGGTTGAAAAAACCTGGCCACACCCTGATTTGAAAAATATACATAACTCTAGAAATTTGAAAGTTTAATCATTCAAAGTAAGGCTTACATTTGAAAATATGAGATACTCCTAACTATATCATAACACAGATTGAATAGCAAGAGATCTGGAATAACACAACTGTTCATTCCTGGATTAACAGGTCTATGTAGCCGAAGTTACTTTCCAGTAGTAGCTCTTCAGTGTGGTCTTTGTGACATGAGTCTTTGTGATTTCAGTGTTGTTTCTGTACACAGCAATACCTATAAATAGGGCAGTTAGTCAAACTGTTCAGTTGACAAAATAAGAATTTAGTCTGCAGATGGATCAGAATCAGGGATTTTATTAGCTACTGGACTTGCTAGAGGCTAACAATGAATGGGTATGGAGACGGCAATAATAACTAATACCTAGCTCTTACACAGCTGAAAGTGCTATAAATCTCAAACTCTTATTTTTTTTAAAGTATTGTTCTCTTTTTTTATTTAGATACCGAAACTAAGACAACATCTACCCACTAGGAACTAGGGATATGATTCAAAGTTTACTAGACATATTTGTGCTAGCTCTCATCTGAGTTAGCATGGTAAAAGTAGTAGTGTAGCCATGGTTAGACAGGCAGCTTCAGAAGCAGTACAGGCTAGCTTCTGAGCCCCAAAGTGCCTGAACCCCTTTAACAGTTACTCAGGAAAGCTCACCCGAGCTGCTTGTGGAGCCACCCATGCTGCAATGGCTGTGCTCATATTTTCAGTGTGCTGAGTCAGATGACTCAGGCATGATTGTTGTATAAGATGGGAATCTCAGAGTAGATGTACTCTGGGATGAAGAGAGTGACTTGCCCAAAGTTACTAGCAAGCCAATATAAAAACCACATCTAGGATTCAGGAGTGAAATCCTGACCCTCCTTAGCGTCAATAGCAGAATTCCTATTTGACCTCTGTAAGGCCGGATGTCATCCCTGGTCTGAATCATAGTCCATTGCGTTATGCTGCCTTCCACCCTTCCTTTAACACAGTAGCTTCTAGTCTTGTAAAAGTCAGGAGTGTAGCATATAACTATGGGAGATTAGGGAGAAACTTAGCTTGCTGAAACTTGTTTTGTCTGTTCAGTCACTAAATAATTACAGATTCCAAGGATGTTGGATTGATAACAAGGAAGAGGATAATGTTTCATTTAACCTCAGAAGAGTTAAGGAATCCTTCAGACATTTTGTAATAAAATATATTTTGAAGTCACCTCTACCTTAATATCCTTCATAGACTAGAAGGTCAGACACTTAAATATTTTGGTTGGCTGACCACTTCCTGTCTTTTCATTTGAATATACTGATATAAGCAATGGGGAAGAATAGCCATCCAATCAAATAGCAGAACACTGAAAAAATATCAAAGTACAGTTTATGCCTTATTTTGCCTAATTTAAAATGTTCATGACTTTCTTTAGGGGGTTGATCATGAGCTATGCAAATCAATGCAAACTTTGCTGCTGACTTCAGTGAGTGCAGGATCAGACCATAAATGCCTGCATGAATCTGCCGTTAATTCAAATCCTTACAGAGCTTCTAGGCGGTGTTAATCTAAGTATCATGTCCTAGCTAAAGTAGGTAGCAACATTTTTATGTCTCTGGTATTGCATTGTATTCTTTGCTTCCTAAATTAAGAGTAGGAAGTTTGTGTCCTCACCCAATGTAGAATTTACCATCACTAATAAAAACAGACAGTTATAAATATTGTGCCCTTGAATCATTAATATCTTTAGTCTTTTAACAAGATTGTCTGATGAGCAATAAAACTAAAGTCAAATTGTCCTTTTTTGTGCTAGGCTTGTTTTCCATAAATTGCCAGAAAACAATTTATTCAATCCGTCTTTCTTCCAGTAATTGATTATGCGGATATTATTTATCGTACTGCTGCAAGCACGTCTTTGCATAAATTTGATGTGCTTTATCATTCTGTGTTACATTGTATTTACAAATGCCCCATTTTCTGCTCATCATTGATGACTTTATTGCATGGTAAACTGGTCTTCATTAGATAGTGTTTTGCATTAGTATTCATTTTTCAGTGAGGGAATTTGGAGAAAAGCCCCACCATGTCTTCTGTCTTTATCAAATTCTTTTCCCCAACAAATGTGCTCTCAAATCCCCAGGCAGTCCTACATTTGTTTTTCCATTTATTATATTTTTTATGAAGAGAGAGCATAAATTTTCTTCTCCTTATCCCAACCCCCGAGAGATTTCTTTTAACTAGCATTAAAGTTTACAAGCTATTCTAGTTTTACTAATTAATATATAAGAACATAGTTTGTACAGTATATGGCTGCAGCCTGCTAGGCAATTTGTCTTGAGCCTGGATAACTGCCTTCATCAGGTTATCTTTGTTAAAGAGAAATGAAGTTCCCAGTGTAGCAATTTGCTTCCCTAAAGGAAGGGTTGATTGGGTATCTAAAATGTTTAGTCGTCTTTTGCTAGTCATGAATACAGACCACACAGGATGTATCAGAGTTTGGCTGAGTCTAGGGAGCACTGGTGTAAGAGTGTGAATCATTCTTGGACAGTGGAAAACCTTTTACTGCTTGCAGGCTTTTACTTTCTTGCTAGGAAAGCAGTATTTTGTCATAGCTTTAGTGGTGTGTGAGTGCAATACCTCATCTATATTTGGAAAATTCCAGGTTTGAAAATCACATCTGTGATGGCATGGGAATAAATGTTGCATTAAAAGGCAGAACTTGGTTTAGTGTAAATCAGGGTTTGTCCCTGGAAACATTTACTATGAGACACTGAGCATCTTTAACCCACATTGGAAAGATTGGAAGCTGATGATCCTCAGCACCTCACAGGAATGGGCCACTGATAGCCAAATCTTGCTCCTTCCTTCATGGTAATAGAAAGTCTTAGTGTAGGGCATCATCCTTTACTCTATCTTACTACAATTATTTTCTGAGGAGGGTTGTCGTAGTCCTAAGGATTCAAGACTGGGTATGGGGTTGTTTACAGAGGAAATGTTTTCTCCCCCAGTGCCCTCACACCAAGTTTGACTATTCACAACTGTGTGGTATGTATGCTGAGTACATCTTCACTAGAAAAGATTGTACCCATACTGAATAACTGCCAGAAACACAAAACCTGTGCCAGCACTAATGTATTAATATAGATAGTGACATATTTTCCATGTCACGGTGGTCAATGCACTTTACCTAAATAGGAAAGACACAGTACCTTCCTGTAGCTCACTATCCAAGGTAAGCACAAGGCAGGGCACTTTTAACAGACAGTAGGCTAGGGATGAGGAGAGAGAGAGGAACTATGAGGAGGGAGAAACACCTGGACCTCCTCCCTCATAAGTGAGGATTCATAAATAAAGTTGCAATCTTGGTTATCCAAAAATATATGTATTTGCCATTGGTGACAATTGCAGAGATTCAGGAAGTTAGGATTTTAAAACTCTTTGGGTATGTCTACACTAGCCCCTAGTTCGATCTAGGGAGGCTAATATCCAATGCTTCATTAGCATGTTCCAGTCCGGTCGCCATTTTAGAAATTGAGTAGCCCAAAGTAACTGCCCGCGTCTACACACGGCAGTGAAACGGGATTCCAAAATAAATCCCTCAATCGAATTAGCTGTTAAAGCTCATTCCAGGAGGAATAACAGCTAATTCGATTGAGGGATTTATTTTGGAATCCCGTTTCACTGCCGTGTGTAGACGCGGGCAGTTACTTTGGGCTACTCAATTTCTAAAATGGCGCCCGGCCTGGAACATGCTAATGAAGCACGGGATATTTAAATCCCGCGTTTCATTTGCAATTTCGGTCACCCTCATTAGCCTCCCTAGATCGAACTAGAGGGCTAGTGTAGACATACTCTTTGGGTGGCACTCATATGATACCATACAGAAACTCCTTTGGTCCTGGAGGATGCTCCAGGTATGTGGAGACACATTCTGTTTAGTAGGGGCAAACTCTTCCCAGACGGAGTGATTGGGAAAAAAATCTTCAGAGAGACTTGTTCCACCTTTTTGCAGGGTTCTTTATGGGAAGGGGCAGTCTGGCCCAGTCTTTTGCAAGATCTTGGGAATGATGGGTGATGTGAATGTTAGAGAAGTCTGTATTGTTGGTCAGGAAGCAGGTGTGAGCTATATACAGCCTTCACAAATCATATTCCCCTAGAGCTTTATCTGTGTCTGCAGTAGCTGAATAAATATCAGAGGGTATGTCTACACTAGCCTCCTAGTTCGAACTAGGGTAACTAATGTAGGCATTCGAACTTGCAAATGAAGCCTGGGATTTAAATATCCCGGGTTCATTTGCATGTTCCCGGGCAGGCGCCATTTTTAAATCTCCTTAGTTCAAACTGACGCGGCAGTCAGAAGTTAATCCAAACTAAGTCCTTAGTTCGGATTAACAGTTACACCTAATTGCAGGAGGAGTAACAATTAATCCAAACTAAGGATTTAGTTCGGATTAACTTCTGACTGCAGCATGTAGCCGCAGGCAGTCAGTTCGAACTAAGGGGATTTAAAAATGGCGCCCGCCCAGGAACATGCAAATGCAGCCCGGGATATTTAAATCCTGGGCTTCATTTGCAAGTTCGAATGCCTACATTAGCCACCCTAGTTCGAACTAGGGGACTAGTGTAGACATACCCAGAGAGATCAACCCAGTAGTGTTAAAGTCTCTTGAAAACCTGTTTGCATTTACAGTCCTTTTTTCTCTAGTGCCTTAAGAAATGGAAGTTCATGCTTGGAGAGAAAGGCCTTGACTTGAGTAGCAGCAAGTGACTCTGGCTTGATGCGATAATACATTGCTGTTGAATTTAAGGTGGGGCCTTGGTCATATTTCAGCTTGAGTTCCTATTTCCAAATTGTGGTTAAGTAACAAACCCAAGTTTTGTGGGTTATTCACTTTGCACAGTGGCTGCCTCCAGTATTCCTTTTACTAGCTAGTGCCTCCATGAACACTAAATTCAAACACACAGTTATAAATGCTCCAGAACTAAACCAGGGGAGATGGGATGATGTAATGGAAAGGCCACCTGCATTCTCTCCTTTTTCCTTTTCATCTCCAGATCTAGAATTCAAGAAGAATAGGAATAGAAAGGGAGAATTCAAGGGGTGGCTTTTAATTTTGGGCCCAATATTGAACAGAGGGAGGCTTCGGCCTGGCTTGTGAGGAGACTGAATGTAGGCTTGTGCAGCACAGACTGAATCTCTGGTGAACAGCTTGCTGCAGTTATAATTTTAATGAAAATTGAAAGCTAGAGTGCCATCGTTTCCTATATTACTTTTACCCCTAAAATGATTTATTGGCCACTTATACATGATACATTCTCCTGTCATGAATAACACACTATATATTTATTTTCATGAATAATGGCCACCATTTTAATTGATAGTTTCAGATAGAGTAGTAGATTTATTCCTACAAGGAATAAAGCTTCTCGCTATATACAGACTGTATAAATTATTTTAGCACTTATTCTAGTTTTCCCTTTGCAACCCAATATGCCCTTAATGTTAACAGAAATCAATCAAACAAGATCTAATATATCACTATTCAGCAGCTTCTACAAAGTACACTCAAACATTTTTTTCTATAATGTTTTTGAAATGTGTTAAATGATGTTGCCAAAAGCTTTTGCTGAACCAAGAAGCTTTTGACTTGTCTGATGTATCTGCCTGTAAGATAGCTGTTTCATTTTCCTTTAGCTTATTTGTCTTTGCTTGGCATCCTACCTGTATATGTAAGACATCTCTTTTACTTTCATTTATTATACAGGCTTTCAGAAAAGCTTCCCATTAAAAACCTAAATGAAGCTTGTCCCACGTGGATTTTTAGAAAGAAAGTTACGATTCAACTAAGATGATAATCAAATATTGATTCCTGAAATGTAGAACCCTGCATGGACAGATGAGTTGTACATTCATTCTTGAGTGTGATACACCAAACACAATGAGCCAAGTCTGTGAGGGCTTCTCTTAATGATGAAGATAATCATAGTTCAATACTAAAATTTCCATTTCTTTCAAATGAGTTCATTCTGTAATTAATGTTTGAGGCTATATGTGATATGCTGGGTGCTCACAAATAAGCCCCCGTTGCATGCTGCAGTACAGCAGAACTATAAAAGAATGAAATTGCACACATTCCTCTGCATAATGTAAAATCACAGAGCTCAGAATGAATCATTTCAAAATGGAATTAAAATGCTATAGAGCATACAGGAAGAGATTTCATTAAAATACAAACAAACAAACACAAAGCTTCTTGAACAAATTGCATTGTGATGCATTGACCCAAGTATCATTACAATGTGTTCACCTACCAGTAATTTTAGAGATCTATTGTTTCTTTTTGAAGTGAGGAATAATAGTCTTTTCATCTCTTCTTCTTCAATAAAGTCTCTCTTAAATTGTATCAAGGTCAACATTATCTAACATGGGTGCCTCAGGTTCAGCTCTAAAATCCATACTTAGGCACTCAATTACTTGTTTCTAAGAATCCATAGTTCCCAACTTTAATTGGAAAATTGTGACCCATACAGGAATAAAAATCTTTAATATTTTTATGACCCAACAGTTGACAACAGAAGAACCTAAGGAGATGTGATGGGTGAGGGGCTAAGGAGAGTAAACAACAGTGGGTTGCAAAGGAAATGGTCCAATACCGATCCAAGAATATGTGTTAAAACATTATGGAGGTCTTGTCAAAGACAGAGTAGAAGGACTGAAAGCATGTTAGGTTAGAGTTAAATATTCTTTGTTGTATTCTTGACTCTGACACTGTCTGAGTTTATGTATGGTGTTGGGCAAGTCACTTTACCATCTGGTTGCCTAACTTATAAACTAGCAATAATTCTTAAGGCAGTTCCTACTTTCTGTTGATGTTTGTAAAGTGCTTTGAGATGCTTGGATGAAAGATGCATAATATTATTAGTACAGAGAGTCAAAGTATAGATGCAATCAGGTAAGCTACCACTTTCAAATAAGGCAGTCACAGTAGATGTTTAGTACAGTAGATGTACTGCGATATTGTGTTTATTATATTTAAAGTCTAACACTGCATTTGCTGCTATATATATTATTTGGCTAAAGCTCTGTTATTTGAAAAAAAAATTACAAGATGGTATAAGGATTTGAATTGCTTATTCCAGTATTTGTGTATGTTCTTTTCTCTTGTTCTAAATTATATAAGCAATTTCTATGAGAAAATGCAAACCATGTGATTGCTAGGCACTATAGTTTGCTACTAGCATTATGAAGTCAAGAGCTATTTTAATAAAATACTTCAGTCAATTAAATTCAGTTTCTAAAGAAGAGAAAGTAAAGACTGCTGAAAGTCGATCAAAAGACACCATTCACTGCAGGGGGGCAAGTTAAGCAGAGAAGAACTAGACCTAAAGCGATAGAGTTCTTTCTATTAGGCAGCAGCAAAGTCATTTACATTATTCATTGCACCCTGGAAAAAATAATCATGAATAGATTGAAAGGAATAGATGGAACCTAGCTGTCAAAGAATGCAGACATAAAGCAAGGGAAGGAATACAAAGCAAACGCAAAATGCAATAATACTACCTAGGGGAGTCAAAAGAAATATGAAAGGGTTCTAGAAATACAGAGAGAATAGGAAATAAGAGGCCACTATACAAAACAAGAAAAAAGAACATGCAAGTGAGGACTCCAAGATGGCTGAAAAATATTAAACTAATTTTTGCACCATTTTCAATGTAAAGGAAAAATGAAGAAAGAAAATGCTGTGTGGGAGGCAATTAGCCAAACTTAGTCTAACATGCATGTAACAAATTTATTCTTCACCCTTTCTTAGATGGAATAGTGCTTTACTGTGAGAGGTGCTCCACTGAAGTCAGTGGTTGAAGAGGACATGCTGGATGGCATAAGCTGGGCCTGTGGAATGGCTCACAGAGAACTATAAAGCAGGTGAAGTCAGTCTTTTATGAGCAAGCCACAAAATCTATAGGCTAAAATATTGGGTGAATTCATTGAAGTTAATAAAGATAAATGTCTGTGTGGCATTCTAAACATACATGAATTAAGACAAATGATAACTTGTGTATTACTTCTGTAGTCCACATGCTTAGGTCTGAATTGGTCTAACATCAAGCCATTAGATGTTCTGTCTTTGTTTCCTAGATTAAAGGGATCTCTCTCATCAGAAAGCTCTTCCCCCACTGAAATGCTTATAGACCATGTAAGTCAGCTCTGAAGCTTTTATTTGTTAAGATTAATAGATTGAAATTCCTTAGTCTACCTCTGTAAAGTAGGTTTCCTGACCTAGGGTCATTCCTGAGGTGCTTTTTGAACCTTTTCCAGTTTGTCAATTTGCCTAATTGGCCTCCAGAGGAAACTGACTATGGAATTAGCACTAGTTAATAAATAGGGTAAATTAGATTTAAGAATTGAATGTCTGAACTGGGCCCCAAAGAGGAGTTTGCAGTTTGAGGCTACTGTGTGAAAAGAAAATGCTATTCTCTGATTGATGTATTGACCTGATTCAAAGCACACTAAAATCAATGAGAATCTTTCAGTACATTTCAATAGGTATGTAAAATTCCAAGATGAAGGTCTGCTTTAGAAAGCTTTGGTGCTACCAGAACAAGAATACTATATGTCGTCTTGCTTGGTGCTGCTTACACTTCAGGGAGGTGAGCATTTTGCAGAAGTCTTGCGTTTGGTCAGGTGCATGCAGGCAGGGTAAGGGAAAACAGGATCCTGCCTTCTTCTCCTACTCTATACCCTGTTCATCATCTAGCTCCCGGCAACAAGCAGCATCTGTGCTACATAAAGTTCAGAGATGGCTACCATGAGTAGACCCATTCACAACTCAAAATTTCTCTTCTGTAAAAAAAAAAAATCTGATATTTTGCACAAAATTGAGAACAAAAATTTTAAAATGTTTATAATTTTCCATGGAAGAGAAATTTTGAAGATATAAGAAATAAATTAGAGTACCAGGTTGCCCCAATTCCTGCAGTGTCTTTGAACTGATGCAAATACCAAGGATTTCCCATGCTGCACCCAACTTTAAGGAATTCTTGGGTTACTTATAAGGGTATTCCAAAGAGTCTCCCAGAGTCAAGAGCAGCCCAAGGGGTTTACTGAATCCTGGAACTAACTCACTTTGCAGCCTACATACTGTGAGAACCTTGTCTTCTCCCGGGGCTTCCATTAATTCCAGGTTCTGGCTGGGAGCCAATCTACATGGTGAGGCTGCTCCAGAGACTCTGGGTCCCTGAGGTCCCCATCTCTGAAGCAGCTTACAGGGTAGAACTACTCAAGGGCCATGACCCCTGAAAATCTGGGCTCTCCAACTCTGAAACAGTCTGTGTGACAGATCTGCCTCAGCTCCCCAGCAGCTCACAAAGCAAACTGGCAAGGGAAGAGGCAGGGTTCCATCAGAACTTTACCTTTTTTTTTTAATGTAAGCTTGCTAGAACCATGCCATTTCTGTGAAACATCTCAATTTCTACGACTTGACATTTTCTGGTGGTGCTCAAAGCACAGCTGCACAAGAGTTAGGAAAAGTTTTGAGCTCCCACCTCTAACGGTGTGTCCCCAAGCCAGGCCCACTGAGATTCCAAGTAGTGTTATTCCGTGTTGACAGACTAAAAGCACATGTAAAATGGAAAGTGTAGAGAAGGAGAAATGAGTGAAGACAAGCATGGTCTTGTTCATCAAAATAGAAGCATGAAACCTTAGATGGGACTGCCTGGTATATAAATCAGTTCAGAGTTCACTTCTTAACTCTGCTGCAGATTTTCTTTCTCTTCCCAGCCATTCATCATAAAGCAAATGACATTACTGGAAGATGGATGGGCACTTATGTATACCTTTATTTTTTCCTTATTACTAGTGTGTACATCCCCTTGGTTTCTGGATACCTTATAGGATTTTCCCTTTTCAATTTCTTTTCTTCTAGGAAATAAAAGGCTGTTGATTAATCCTCCATGCCACTGAGCCCACTTCAAAGCTGACTCTTGTAGCAGAAAACAATGTAGCTATTTCACATTGTAAAGTAGCTTTATTTCCATAACACAATTATGCAAAATTAAGGTATGAGTGAATGTTAGGCTCACCTTTCATTGAAGTCTTCTCCATTTCTTTCAGTCATTTCTTACAGTACAAAGATCCTTTCAAATCAAAGTTTCCAGGACGGGCTTTGAATTTTGTTTGGCTTTTCTTTTAGATTTTAAATGAGGAAAAAGATGTAATCTATTTCCAAGTTAGATGGCCAGGAAGTAGATTGGTAGAGATCACTCGACTCTGTTCTGGGCTCCTACAGACTTTGCAGAGGGGAAGAGAAGAATGGAGAAGGTGTTAATCTGCTTAAATGAAGCACACAAGAACTTTTACAGGGGAAAAGGCAGTACGCAGCATTAATTGAGAATACAACAGTTGCATGTGCTTTTCAATCACTCATACACACAAAGAACATACACACAAAGTTTCGCCAGATGATGTCATAGTTACCAGTCCAGAGTCTGTATCAATCTAGTGGCCAGCTAGAGTGAACACAGTGGGGAGCAGGGCCCTTGTCAGTCGATCGATCCGATACTGCTCTGGACTTTTTGGCAAGATGAACCCAAAGTTGCATAGCAAAGTACCTTGCTTTTATAATCCTTTTCTCCGTTGAAATCAATGTATTCCGCTGTGTCATTCTGTGACCGGAGCATTATCTTTTGATGTGAGTGTTCCCAAAACATCCTCCAAGGCTCATCCTGTAATCAATCGTCTTTTCAGGGTGCTTGCTTTGCTTTAAAGCCGTCAATCTGCCAATATCCAATCACCTTGTGAGTAGGGGTACTCATTTTTTACTCCAGGTTGTCTAGTCTTCTCCCACGCTTGCTCCCCCTCCTTCTTGGACCATCTGGTTCTGAGAAATAACTGCACCTTATCTCGACACATTCATACCCCTTTCACACACATAAGCAGTGTTACAAAGACTTTCAAGGCTATGTGGCACATCAACATCTGTATTGGTAAGACAAAGAGGCGTCATAAATCAAGCAATTGCCTCAACATCAATTGCCTTAACATTCCTTATAGTCTTCATTAACACAGACACAATATCAGATCCTGTCTCTTTACTTACTAAAACTTTAGAACAAGGAAATATAGGAGATATATACTTAACTAAAGGACTTGACTTACTACAATCTTAAATATGATTATATATAAACTTACATTACTACATTACTAAACCTAAGATAAAATAAAAAAAGAATAAAACTTTCAGTTCTAACAAAGGGTCCCAATGGATTTTATAAGGTACTCTTGCAGCTTGGGAAAGCATTTTGCACACCTACTCATAGGCTGTATGGGAGAGTGGCCCTCACATATTGTACTATGGAAGTAGTCCAACTTTAGCCATTCATGATTCTATGCTCATTCATAGCAGCTGAAGAGCTGCCCCTCAGTCCTGCCCATTAGATGTAACCCTATTGAACAAGAAATATCTTTCAGTACTACCCTCACACCCACAAACTATATTAAGTGGATGCTGCAATTTCATATGATACTGAAAAAAATATAGATTAGTATTGCAGGGAGCCAGCACCTTACCCCTCTTCTCATAGCCCAGCTTAGCTCTCTTTCAAGTGTGATGGATAATACAGTCTAAGCTATGGATTGGCTGTGGGACCTGGATGAAAATGGAAGGCTAATGGAGGGCTGATGGAAGCCCCAAATAATTATTTGAATAAAAGTAGATTTGCCTGCGCTGTACACTTTAACTGCTGGATAGACCCAGACATGTATATAATAAAGTTGCAGCCTGATTAAAATCCATATCTATTGTCTCTTTAGATATACCTAGACAATGGCTGATTTTGTCACCCATTTGTATGTTAATTTAATACTTGCATAAACTTGTAGATCCCTCTGCACTACTTTCCAACTATAAAAATCTGAGCTGATATCAATAAACACTTATTCACCACAAGAACTAGTCAACAACCTTCTATTTGCAAAAAAGCATCAAAGCCAGAATACCTTAGAGTAGATTATTTATATGATCCTAATGCATCTGCCATATTCAATCAGAAGAAACTGATTCAAAATATTAAATGAACATCTGCAGACTGATTTCCCATTTGAATGCCTCCCAGTGGCATAAACTGGCATCCATTAAATGGTTGCTTCCCAGATACATTTTATAGTGAGAGCTGGATTTTTCCATTCTTTCTCATGTGGAGTATTTTTTACTCTACAAGTAACACCATTCAAGTAAATGAATGAGGAACATGAGGAAAGGTGGCAGTTTTTGGCCATAATTGTGATCTAGTGGAATGAACCTTATATAAGCAGTTTATTAATTGAAATAATAAATACTAAACATTTATTTGGCAAAATAAAATGTTTCAAATGTTATACTTAAACATAATGGTAAGTGGAATTCTCTAAACTATTAGTTATGATATACCCCAAATATTGCATGTAATCATAGCAGAGGATCTAGGTGCATTTGGAATACTAACAAAAAGTATAATTTGACTCCAAGCTACTTTTACAACTACTTACAATTAAAATATTTCATTAAAATTTTCTGAGAGTACTTCAGCATCATTAAGTCTCACATCTAAGAAACTTTTGTAAGGCCTGAAAAGCAAGAAAATTCTCTAATGTATCAATATTACAGTGACTAAATAATGTCTAAAAACCTGGCAATGGTATCTGTAGAATTAGACTATGAAAATAGGGAAATTTATTTAGGAAGATATATGCAATACCAATTTTTTTACATTATATTTCTTGTTGATTGTTGCCAATATGTGCTTCGATTTATATACAAATTCCCTATCACAGTATTGATGGTGTTTATATATTACCATCCTTCTTCTAAACGAACATTTGCAGAGCTGTTATGATAGGTCTCCCCACTCCATATTCAATTTCCTGAAGGGAAAACCACATCTGTCAGTCAAGATGAACTGGGAGTGACCACACCCCTGAAAACTCTTCCTGTTTCATTCTGCTCACTACTTGGTCGTTCTATTTCATAATTTAATTAGTAATATGGCTCCATGTTAGATTGCCCAGGGCCAGTCTCACAGATCATATGTGTTGTAGCCATATGCAGTATTGAAAAAAAGTATGTTTATAGGGAGAAAAATCTTACATGAGAGAGTATAATGTTGTTTCTTGCAGTATCTCTCTTCATAGTTTTATATAAAAGTCCCAGCTCACAAATGATTTTAAAATGAAGGAAATAGTAAAGTAAAATATGAGATCATTTGCACATAGATATACTAAATGTGAATAACTGGAGGTTCACTTTCAGGACTCACTAAAAGCAAGGCTGAATATTTTTGTGTGGTCTTAAATTATGAAAAAGCTGCATTACTAAAAAAAGGAAACTTCACAAAAAAGAGATGGGATATTTTATTGAACACATTGAGTTAAATATTGATGATCTATAATGTGCCATGATAGCTTTCCAGGAATGGAGAATCAACTATCTGTACAGAAGCTCTTTGTTAGCATAAAACTTACTGTAATATATTAGTGACCTACATCTCATTGCAACATTCCACTATTATTAGCTACTTATCAGATGTTGACATACTGATAAAAGAAAGAGGGAAAACCCTATTCCTATAGTAATTTAAAACTGGACTATACAAAGTATTGAGGGAACTTTGCGGGGTATGTGTGGAATGCTTACCTAACAGAGCCACATCCTCTTTCATTTTTATGTTTCATTAATACTTCAGAATGCTGTGGTATTCCATACAAGACATGTTAAAATATTATGTAGGTGGCCAAGTCAAGAAATCAAAAATCTTGACATGCCAGATATACACTTAATTTCACCCTGCAGCACGGGTATCCATCTTGATCACAGTCCTATGGAAAAAATATGTGATTATTAAATATTAAGTGATTATATTAAGCGATTAAAATATCACAAAGTAGAGACACAAGGGAGCAGAATTAAGGTTGCACAACCAACTATAAATCTGTCATTTCTGAGCATGTGAGCATTTTTTATTTTCTTTTAACATAATTTTATATGTATTATGCTGGGGAATAGGTGATATAGGAAAAAGGGGAAAACAAATTCTAGCATGTACAACAGTAGAAGCTCTCCAGTCATTATGGATCATGAGAAGGGACTGACCTTTAGTACAACTTAAGCTACAGATGAAAGCTGACAGCATGAGAAGGCTGCTGTGAGAAAAGGGGAGATGGATTTCCAGGGTTCAGTGCTGGCTCCTGAAGGTGGTTGATGTGGGGCAGCCAACACAGGGTAGTGGGGAATGGAAGTCTGTGTGGTGCCTCATGAGAGGGAGCTGATGAGAAGTCAACTGTAGGGCCTGGGTCTGAAAAACTCTTTCCTGGTTCTTGTCCTCATGTTGTGCCCAGAGAGGACCACAAGCCCCTGGATCAGTGTTGCATGGCAAGTGTAGCCAAAATGGAGTATTTTAGTGTTGGTATAAGTATAATATTCAATCCTATACAATGATTTCCTTGTAAGTTCTTTATGCTTCTGTTTGACCCTATCCTTCATTATTAGACAGTGTTTGTTTGCTATAAGGTCTAGTATTACACATTAAGTTGTGTCTTTTGTCTGCATTGCAAACTAAATTGTGTCTTTTAGTAAGTATAGTCCTTTGTATGAAATTCTCTGTAAAATTATTGGTGTGAGTGAAGGATGTATGTGAAACCACTATGAATGTCCATATGATCAAGAAGACATATGAAACTTGGAGATTATCAGAGAGCATCCATTGTGCTCGATGCTAGAATTCTTTAGCAGAATTTGAGAGTCGTGGAGATAGGCGGACACTCCCAAAAGGTGAGAGGACAAACGGGAGATAACGATGAGAAGTCTGACTATAAATATCAAAGGATAACTGCAGGGAAAACACTCAAGATTAACACATCAAAGGTTGCTGCCTACCCATAAACATCAAAGGATAACTGGGGGAAACTCCCAAGATTAACACAACAAAGATTGCAGCTGATCTGACCCCAGTTTACCTTTCACAAGTATGTAGGGCTAAAAAGACATAGAATAAGTACAGTTCTACTGCAAAGGTTGCCAGAGAAAGAGGGAGAGAGCCCCCAAGCAAGTTGGCTTTTTCACTTCCTACACTGTAGAGGATTTCAATTGGGAACATCACACAGGTGGAAGTTGGAGTAAAGAGTTGCCCAGTGGATCCATGAATGCAAAACCACTAATCAAAATTGGGAGAGATTCTTGAGGGTGAGGTTCCTCCCCCAAATCCTCACGAACTTCACCTTTAAAAAGGCAACTTATTTAGGCATTGTGCAGAGTGAGAATATTAACGTTGAACTCATGTTTTCTGGTAGGTGGCACTTTCAGTAATTGCAGACATTTTATTTGCAGTTTATAATCAGATACTATGAGGAAATAAACATATAATCAGATCAGAGAAATATTAAAACACACTGTAAGTACTAGTACAGGTTGAACCCCTGTAAACCATTATTTTTTTGTTGGGCAACATCTATGGTCCAGGAGGAACAGAGATGTTCCTCGACCAGGGGGTTCTGGTGGAGCACTGGGGCCTAGAAGCCCTGTGGGTTGACAGGGCACTGACTGCTGGCAGTGAACTGCCAACAGGGCCAGGAGCCCAGCTCCCAACAGCTGGACTAGCAGATGCACCCCAGTGCCACAGCAGGGCTGCTCAGCTGGGCTGCCCAGTATGCCCCAGCTAGGATATTCTGAGGGGCCAGGAGCCTCAGCAGGGCTTGGAGCCCAGAGCATTCCATCAGGGCTGCCTGGCATGGCAGACAAGGGAGAATGGGGTCCGGTAGGACAGCCGGGCCTGTGGGGGATCCAGGGCTGAGGGGCCAGTAGCAAGGGGGGCAGAAATGACCTTCCCTAGTTCCGCAAAGTCCCTCCTCTGGGACCTGTCAGGTCCCAAGCATGCCAGACCAGAGAGGTCCAACCTGTT